AGAAGGGAATCGAGAATAAAATAATTAAGACTTTTTTGGTATTGTGATGTAACTAGACAATATCAATAATAACAATAATAATAGTTATTATTATTATTATTATTTACTATTATTATTATTATTATTATTATTATTATTATTATTATTATTATTATTATTATCATCATTATTATTATTGTAAATACTATTATTGTTATTACTATTATTATTATTACTATTATTATTATTATTATTATTATTATTATTATTATTATTATTATAAATAACGTATACTGCACATTTCCTATTTTTTAAATACTCAAATGCGCTTTACATTCAACCCCCAGTGGGTCGGGGGGATATAAATAGACCCACTGCTCCGCCAGCAGGAGGTGCAACCCCTTCACTGGCGATTTGTCGCCCATGGACATCTACGCTCAGGTGCACATGGGCGACACTTGCTTTGGTGTGTCGTCTGTCTTCTATCGTCTTTTTTCCTTCTTCTTTCGTCCTTGCCCGAGCTGACCGGGGAATAAAATTAAAATAGTTGGCTGTCCCATCAACAGGAGGTGTAACACCCCCCCCCCCCTGGTGGGATGCCCATCGAACGTAGGGGTGGCATCTTTTGTCCGCTCTTGCTATGTCTTCTATCCATCTATCTTTCTTTCCGTTTGTTGACCGAAGGTCCGGTCCAGCCAAGAATAGACCCCAAATCCCCGCAACGCAAGGCACCCCGTTGACCGTGGGGTGCGACCCGTACGACCGGAGAAGGGGACCCTGGTGGCTGAGGTGTGGCTTTCCTCACCAACACGTCACTTTGGCCCTGGATTCGGTCTAGACGGGCGGGTGCAGTGGCCTACTGCACTCAATCGGTTGCGACCAGTTCATAGAACCGGTTTTTGGCCAATCTTGGTTAGAAGGCAAGATGATTTCTTGCCGTCTGATTGGGAGTATACCTCCAGGGTAGCCCTGACACCAGCTATGGACTTCCGAGTGGTGTCCCCTTGTTGGACTCGGTGGCGGGTGGGGAGCCCTGGAGATGAATAAAACACAAAATACACATGGATTCAATCAAAAACATTTCTTCCACCCCAATTCCCAACAAGTCCCAGACAGGAGAAGCAGGTGCAACTCCTGGCCTGGGCAAGAGAAAGAAGGGCCTTTCGGGCGAAGATGCTGACCATGTCAGCATCTGGGACTTACCTAAAAGAACATCGTTGGGGTGGTCACCATTTCTGGTGATCTCCCCAAAAGATGAAAAACAAGATACAAATCTCACTACACTAAGCGTTTTTAAGATGCACAAGTCCCTATAACATTTCGGTATACACAAACCAAAATATATTTAAAAATAGGACCCACGGACCTCCTGATACAAGTCAGTTCCAGCATATAATCAGGCAAACAGTTGGCCTGCACCTCGTTTGGTGGCATCCCTGTATGTGTTCAGCCTCACAGAAGTCGGAACACATCCAAGGGTGTCATCAAAAGCCGAGAGCTCTACGGCTGTACGGAAGAAGAGATGGTTCACGAGGTCGATGGAATTGTCCATGCTCGTCGTATCAAAATACGACGGGATGGCAGGGAAATCTGTACCAACACGTGGATCCTTACCTTCAACACACCCACACCACCAACAAACTTAGACATTGCATACTTAGAACTCGAAGTTAGACCATATATACCGAAACCGATGCACACAGTTATCCTGTTTGGGAAATTCTACGCTTCTGATCTTTTCCCCTTGCATTATGACATCACTCACCAAACTACCGTCCCATTGTAATACATCACAGATCACGTGACCAATGCTGTTTCCCTGACACACAGGTGTCACGTTGGCTACCAGAGTAGACAAGTCTGGCTTGATGTATTTGCTCCCCAATTTGTACTTCTTTATCATGTACTCGCTCACTGCTAAATCTCCGTGGATGGAGCTAAAGCAAATCCCTGGGGATGGAAGTAAGGCAGAAGTGAACAAAACGTCGAATTATCACGTTTTAGTTTTTGGTAGAGTTTTACAGCACTTGCAACCCAATTAGGTCCTATAAGAGTAAAAAATTAAAGATGTTACAAGAGAGTAACAAACAAACAAAAACAACAACAACAACAACAAAAATAAAGAAAGAAAGAGGAGAGATAAGGACGATAGATATTTGATTGGAAAGAAGGACCAAACCATACTAGAGCTCTGGCCAACCACCAACGAATTGTCACGATAACGGCCGAAGAATCAGTTAAAACTTATGGTATCATATCATCATTGCCTTTCTTAAACTGGATCTGGATATAGGCCATGAACAAACACTTTCCACCCTTCCCTATCCTGGGCTAGTCCCTTGAGGTCACTCCATATCTTCCCACTTTTCTGTACATCTATACTTGGTATTATCAGTGGCTTCCAAAAGAAACTCGGAAATGTAATCACATTGCATTACCCACTCATGCAGCATATCAATTTAAAGCTGAATAAATTCTGCATCGTCTGACACAGTAATAATTCAGCTATATTAAGAGACGCTCGAGATATGGTCACTCAAAATTAACTTTAAAAAATCAGGCTTGGCAAAATTGTACGGAATCAAAGAAACGTAAAAAGTTGTCTTCGATCGTGTATTGAGGGGCATCGTTATTTATAGAATGGACATACATTGCATATCCAATGAATGGAGAACTTAGTCTCAGCAATAAACACCATTTCATTACATGTTTGTCACGATAGATCTACTTCCAAACAAAAATAGAAAACAGAGCAATCACAAATACCACGCAATACTTGGACCTAATCCTAATGTTAAATGTACCAATTGTCATTTTGCTTTGGGGCAATTGATTTTTTGTAGTCCATGAACCCTTTGGGCATAACTATTTGTCTTCTCATCCCAAATATCACAGAGAGTTGCAAACAAAGGGTCTGAAATGGGAGCAAGGTCGCGTTTCTTTAACTGCTGTTTCATAGGACTTCACATAGCTGCAGGATTCATATCGGGGCTCTTTACTGGTGACCAATCCAACGTTGATTTGATTTGGTTTTCTAAGAATTGTGTAGTGGTCCTGTTAGAAAATGCTTTGCTCTGCCTGGAGATGTCTACTTGAATGATACCATGACCAAAATGAGGGTAAGACATTATGTTCCACACTTGCAGGACGTA